AAGAAAAGAAATTAAGAAGGCACAGAATAAACACATGGACATGTTTTTATAAAACCTTTTGTAAAATAATATTATTCCTAGCTCGAGAAAAATTGTTATAGGATGACACCTCTTCCCAATTGCCTCATAAATTAAAACTAGTCTTTCAAGAGGTAAAAATTCTTATTCATCTTCGCTGATTGGTTTGTTTTTCCTTAGTGAAAACCCAATGAATAAATAAGTAATTTAAGGAAAATAACATTAGCCACAGAATCAGAAGTACTGGGGCAGAAATCAGGGCTTATGCAAGAATTATCTCAAAGTGGTTGGAGATGTGCATTCCTTGGAAACTGAGCCTCTTTGGGGCTAATTTCTACTGAAGGCACAACAGATGAAGGAGAATGGAGAAAATCCAGACTAGGATATACAAGAGCATTCTCCACTGCCGACTTTATCTTCAATAGGCTCACATCTGATCAGATTAAAAAACTTTTGTTTTAGGTCTTAAACTGAAGTCAATGTTTCAGGAGCTTGAGAAATGAACAGATTTACCATTTGCTCAGCACAAACCACTATATGAACTGAGTCCCTGGGAACAGAGTGTGGGGGAACCTTCCAAGGTTACAAAAATTCTGGTACCTTTCTGTCTCTCAAACCAGGACCTTTGGCACTGGCATGTGGGGGAGAGAGCAGTGGGGGTTACTTGCCTCTTAGTTTAAAGAGGAAAGCCACTCTCTAGGTGACTCTAGGCAAACTGTCCAGATCATAAACCTCAGCGAGCACCTCCATATTCAAGATGCTGGCTGACCCAGGAGGTCTTCTTAGGAGTGAGGTTTGCCAGAAGCTTACCAAACCCGGAGCTCGCTTGCAGTGCCAGCCATATTGCAGCTTCTGTTGCTTTTGCAGCAAAGAGTTGCCTCCTGGAAAAGTGTAGCCATAGCTAGCAGCTAGCCTATGACCATGGAGATACCCTGGGAGCAAAATATTGCCTCCTGTTTGCCAAAACAAAAACAAAAACAAACAAAACCAAAAACAAACAAACAACAACAACAACCAAAACAGTTAAGGAGAAAAATGGCTTGAGAAATTTACCAGGCTGAAAAGGGGAGGCAGGGACTATAAATTCATTTGCTTTGCTCTGCCCCAGCCGAAGTACAGGAAAGCTGTCTTAGTCAATCCTACCTGCTTTCAAGGTCACTGGATTTAAGTTTTGGATACACAGGCACACAACAATTCATCCTTAGTGGGTACACAGGAGAACTTTTTTTTTGTTTTCGGAGGGACTTGGGCAGTAAGCAAGTGTCCTAGGGGAACTATCCCAGAGCTTTTGAGGATGTGCCTCCCTTGGTGGCTGAGCCTCTCTGTGGCTAATTCCTACTGAGTACACAACAGATGAAAGAGAATGGACAGAAGGCAGTCTAGCACTTCCAACAGCTTCAACCACTTACCAATTTTATCTTCAGTAGGCACATATCTAGTCAATTTTAAAACACTCCTTTTTAGATCCTAGTCATTCATAAGTTTTCAACAAGCCAGGACAGGGAATGGATTCCCTGCTGGATATTCAGGAGACTCTCAGTGCATACAAGCTCATGGGGGGAGTCTCTGTCATCAAAGAGTGTGGGGATCCCCCCCCAACAAGAATCTAATAATTCAAGTAATTGAATTACTTGTCAAGTTTTCTAGTCATTTCAAGTGGAAAGTCACTGTCTAGGAAGTTCTAGCCATGCTGTCCACAACCTTAGTGAGCACACCTAAACACTCAAGAAGCTGGCTGACCCAGGAGTTCTCTCTTAGGAGGGAGATTTAGCAGGAGCTTAGTGAGCCTGGAGTTCGCTTGCCATGGAACATATTGCAGGATCCATCCCATTTTCCACAATGAGTTGCCTCCTGGGAAAGAACAGCTGCAGCTAGCTACTAGCCTACAGGCATTCAAATGCCCTGAGATTAAAAACATTTTACCATGTTGCAAAAAAAAAAATGAGAAAACTGGCTTGAGGTACTTACCTGACATAACTGACATCTTACAGTAATGGATTCTTTGTGCTCTTAAAGAACTAGCCACCTGGAAGAAACTCCACACGAGTGTAACCCACCTGACCCCAACTGTAAGCCTGCAGGCTCCCAGTTTAAATTGTCAGGATTCCTCTTTTCCTCTACAAAAGGTTCCCATTTGCTGGCATTGGGGGAGCAATGCATATTGAAAGTAGGTGGGTTATGGGGGTGATGAAAACCCACTTACAGTGGTATCCTCCCCACCCAAGAGGAAGTTTGAACACCATGTGATCATCCTGTCTCTTTAAAAAGGCTTGAGTTTAATTGTGGGATAGCCAGGTGCACAAAAGCTCAACACTGCAGACTGCACAAAAGAACTTTATTGGCTTTCAGACGAGTTCCCTGCTATTAACAACAGTAAGAACTGACAAAATCAAAAGTGACAAACAGAAAACGTAAATTAAACATAAGGAAATGGAATAAAATGGACACCATGTCATCTTTTCTCAAATAATAATGCCCATTGATGAAGACTCCTATGTCTGGGGTTATTAACTAAGGGCTTGTCCTTGCTGTATTTGTTTCATCAGAGATGAAGGAGCCTCAGTTGAGGAAATAGCTCCATGAGACCCTGCTGTAAAGCAGTTTTTCAATTAGTGGTCAATGGGCAGGAAGCAGGGTGGGGGTTGCTACTCTCGGGGTGGAGGTCCTGCATTATCTCTCTGTATATGTATAAAGATACTGGTTGAGCAAGCCAGGGAATGCAAGCCAGTATGAAGCACCCCTCAATGGCCAATGAGTCAACTCCTGCCCTGTTTGAGTTCCTGCCCCATTCTTCCAGGAACGATGTAGAAGTACAAACCAACTAAACACTTTCCTCCCCAATTTGCTCTTTGGTCATAATGTTTCATTGCAGCAAATAGAAACCCTAATTAAGACAGGCCTTGATTGCTTCCTGAACAGGTGAAAAGCAGGGACACAGGGCCACCACTCCTACATATTACCTTGGAACACCTTGGTCAGTTGTTCTAAGTCTTCCTGATGTGACCCGGCAATACAGTTCTTCATTTGTGGAGACCACACCCCAACGATAAAGTTATTTTGTTACTACTTCATAACTAAGTTTGCTACAGTTATTAATCTAATGCAAATACTTTGAATGCAGCCTTTAAAGATGTCCTGACCAGAGGTTGAGAACTCTTCCTATAACGTGGTTGTCATCTTCTCTGGCTGCCCACAGTTCCTTGGTGACTCTGGGATGAGAGAGTTCCCAGAGATTACCACAGACAGTAGTGTTTCCCTAGCACACCCATGCTATACTCTAATATTCCCATCCCTTCAAACACTGTCCACCTCCTCTAGCAATGCAATCAATGAACAGGTGAATGGGGTCAGCTACACCTTACACAAGAGCAGAGAAACAACCATTGAACACATTCGTTACACGATTTCTATCTTTAACTCCTACAGACCCATTATCTCCCACTTCAGGCCTGCAGGGGTAGAGGGAACTAGGTACAAGTAAGTGTCTTCAAAACATCTGGCTCCTCTCTGCTGTAACCTTTCCACTATTAGGATCCTGAACAATTCATACAGAACCATTTCTGTTGCTTAGGTTGTTTGTGCATGATTGCACTCCCATCCCTTGTGAGGTGAAGACATGAAGATCTATCTCAAGGTTGTCCTCTGAGAGAAAGCAAGTTGGAGGCACCTGCTACACAGAGTAGAATCCAGCATTTTACGGGGAAAACCTTCTGTTAGTACTGAGCTTGCTTTTTAAAATGTTCCATTCATATTTTCCCTTTCCCAAATTCCTCCCAACATCTACCTTCATTACCCACCAAACTGTGTAACTTTTTTCTTCAGAACTTCCCCCCCCAAAGAGAAAGAACAAAAGGACTAAAACACATAAACCTAGAAAGCAAACATAAAGCCCATGGTGTTTTGTGTGTGTGTGTGTGTGTGTGTGTGTGTGTGTGTGTGTGTGTGTGTGTTGGGGCATTCTGGGCAGGGGTCGATTGCTGGGATGTTACTTATATATTCTTTGCTTGAATATGTTTTTATATGAGGCCTCACTAGACCTAGAGATCTAGATAGTCATGCCTCTGAATTCATACAGAAAGATTATTCATGTTTAACACCAAATCTAGACTGACTTGTTGCCTATTTTGGCCTTTCCATTCTTGTCATATGCTTTGAAAATTTTCTTCATTATACAACATTTATTTAAAAATTCCCTGCAAATAAACAACACTTACTCCTCCATTTTAGCAGGCTCAATGTATCTCAGCTCGTGTAGCTACCCCATTAAATTTTACAGTTCACTACTGATTAATTTTATACATCCATCATCCAAATCAAACAGACTCAGAACTTGAAAAACAATTCACTCTAAGGCCTCATTCAGCACTCAGGTAGATCACTTAACTCAGTTTTCCCTACTCCTTTCCATTCAGGCTTCTCTATTGGGTACTAAGCATTTTATTTGTTTCATTATATATGCATATGATTGACGAGTCCCAACATTTAAGGGAGAATATTCATCATTCATTTTTTGAGATTGTTCCACCCCAGTTTAACATCCCATCTCCAGGCCCATCCATTTGGCAGGCAGTGTCGTAATTTTACATTTCTTAGAGCTAAACAACAATATGAAAATTGCAGGAAATGGATGTATTTTAATAATCCTTAAAGAAAAATAAAAGCTTTCCCAATGCAAAAGAATTTCAGTATCAACCACGCTAATACTGTTGCTAGGAGATTTTTGAAAAGAAATAGCCACAGGGAAAATGCACTGGCGTATTTTGATGAAGTCATTCGTAAATGTTGTTGCGTCTAGCTCTAGAAATAGCTCTAGATTTTTTGTTTTTTGGATGACATCTCTTTAAATTCATTGTCTTTAAAATCATTTTTGAAGAGGTAAAATCATTTACTATTTGTTGTTTGGTTTCCTGTTTCTTAGTGAAACACCAATAATGAAAACAATAATTGAAGGAATATAATATTAGCCAAAGTACCATACGTACCTGGGTAGCAAGCAGGTTTCCTGACAGAGTTACATCGAAGTGGTTGGAGATGTGCCTCCATTGGACACTGAGCTTCTCGGGAGCTAATTCCTACCGAATGAACAACAGATGAAGGATAAGAGAGAAAAGACAGGTGAGCATTTGCAGCAGGGAAACCCACTGCCTATTTTATCTACAGTAGGCTCATATCTAATCAACTAAAAATCTTAAGTCAAAGTTTCAGGAGCCTGGGAAATGGACAGATTTACCGCTCAGCAAGTTTAGCATTCGCTTACCACAAACAACTCTATGAACTGAGTCCCAGGAAGAGTGTGCAAACCTTCCAAGATTCCAACAATTTCAGTAAGTCTCTGTCCCTCAAACCAGGTCCTGTGTCGGATGGGGGAGGGGAAGGTGGGGGTTACTAGTCTCTTAGTTTAAATTGAAAAGCCACTCACTGGGAGGATCTAGACATGCTGTCAAAATCCTAAACATCTGTGAGCACCCCAAAATTTAAGATGCTGGCTGACCCGCGAGGTCTTAGGAGTGAGGTTCGGCAGGAGCTTACCAAAGCCGGAGCTTGCTTGCGTGCCAGGGCAGCCATACTGCGGCTTCCTTGGCTTTCGTGGCAAAGAGCTGCCTTCTGGGAAAGAGCGTCAGCAGCTAGTTGCTTTCCTAGGAGGACGGAGTTTCTAGAATCAAAAATTTTGCCCCGTGTTTGCCAAAAAAAAAAAAAAAAAAAAAAAAAGTAAGGAGAAAAATGGCTTGAAAATTTACCAAGCAGAAAAGGGGAGGCAGAGACTGTGAATTCATTTGCTGTGGTCTTGCCCCACCCAAAGGACAGGGAGCTCCCCTAGTCGATCCTGCCTGCTTTCAGGGCACTGGATTTAAGCTTGCGCTGTAACAAATCATCTTACAGGCTGCACAGCAGGACCTTTTTGTTTTTCCGATGGGCTTGGTCAGTAAGCCGGTTTCCAGGCAGAACTATCTCAAACTGCTTAGAGATTTGCATTCCTTGTTGGCTGACCAACTCTGAGGCTAATTGCTACTGAAGTCACAAGAGATGAAAAAGAATGCATTTGCGACAGCTACTACCATTACCTATTTTATCTTCACTAGGCACACATCTAATCGATTTTAAAACATTTTATTTTAGGTCATATTTTTGGTATCGTTCTGCGACCTAACTCAGGCAGTCTCTCACAGGACGGAGATTTGCCAGAAACTTATCAAAATAAAAGTCTGCTTCCTCTGGAGGCCTTACAGCAGGATCCATGGTTTTTGCAGAAAAGAGCTGCGTCTTGGGGAAAGAGCCTCAGGAGCTAGCTGCTACCTACAAGCATGCAGATGCTCTGGGCTTAATGATTCTGTACCATGTCTGACGAAAAAAGGTAAGGGGAGAAAAGAGATTGAAAAACTTACCTCGTACATTAAGAGATTATTTGTGCTCTTAAGAAATGGATGCCTTGAAGGAGCTTCACGGGTGCAACACATTCTGCCCCTAGTGGTGACCATGCAGGGTGCCAGGTGAAATTGTCAGGATTCCTCTGTACCTAGGGCCAGGTCCCCATTTGCGGGAGTTGGGGGTGCATTGCATATTGAATTTAGGAAGAAAATGCAGGTGATGAAAACCCATTTGCAATAAAGTCCTCCCATCCCAAGAGGGAGTATGAACAGCAACAGACATCCGGTGTCTTTGAAAAGGCTTGGGTTTAAACTTGGGATAGCCAGGTGCACAAAAGCTCATCCCTGCAGACTGCACAAGAGAACTTTATTGACTTTCACACAGACAAGTTCACTGCTATTAAGAACATCAAGAGTCGACAAACTCAAAAGTGACAAACAGAAACTCTAAATTCATCAGCAGGGAATGGGAAAAACAGACCCCATGTCCGTTTTTAAGCTGTAACGCTCACAGTTGAAGATTCCTATGTCTGTAGTTATTAACTAAGGGCTTGTACATGCTGTGTTTGTATCAACTTGACACAAGACACAGTCATTAGAGATGAAGGAGCCTCACTTGAGGATATGCCACCATGAGACCCAGCTGTAAAGCAGTTTCTCAATTAATGATCAATGAGTAAGAGCCCAACCAATTGTATGTGGTGCAATACCTAAAGTGGTATTCCTGGATCCTAGAAGAAAGCTGGTTGAGCAAGCTGGCTATGCAAACAAGTAAACAGCACTCATTCTTCAGTAGCCTCTGCATCAGTTCCTGCCCCCAGGTTCCTGTCCTTCTTGCGATCCTTTTCTGACTTTTCCTGTTGGGAGCTGAAAAGCTAATTGGACGTATAAGCTGACTAAACTCCAACTTGAGTTGTAGTCATGGTGTTTCGTTAGAGCAATAGGAACCCTAACTAAGACAGGCCTTGACTGCTTCCTGTCCATGTGAAAATTGGGTACCCAGAACGTCATGACCTTCCCCTGGGGAATCCTTCCTGGTGGTTTAAAACCATCCTAATGCTGTGATCCAGAAAAAGAGCTCCTCATGTGAGTTGAAACCATGCCCCAACCATAAAACTATTTGTTGCTACTTTGTAACTGCAAGATTGCTACTGTTAAAATTATAATATAGATACCTTATATGCAACCCTAAAGGGGTTGTGTCCTAGAGGTTGAGAACCCTATCTCTAACGTGGTTGTAATCTTCTCTGGCTTCCCACAGTTCCTTGGTGACTCTGGGATGAGAGAGTTCCCAGAGAGTACCACAGACACTAGTGTTCCCCTAGCACACCCATGCTATACTGTAATATTCCCATCCCTTCAAACACTGTCCACCTCCTCTAGCAATGCAATCAATGAACAGGTGAATGGGGTCAGCTACACCTTACACAAGAGCAGAGAAACAACCATTGAACACATTCCTTACACAATTTCTATCTTTAACTCCTACAGACCCAGTATCTCCCACTTCAGGCCTGCAGGGGTGGAGGGAACTAGGTACAAGCGGTGTCTTCAAAACATCTGGCTCCTCTCTGCTGTAACCTTTCCACTATTAGGATCCTGAACAATTCATACAGAACCATTTCTGTTGCTTAGGTTGTTTGTGCATGATTGCACTCCCATCCCTTGTGAGGTGAAGACATGAAGATCTATCTCAAGGTTGTCCTCTGAGAGAAAGCAAGTTGGAGGCACCTGCTACACAGAGAAGAATCCAGCATTTTACGGGGAAAATTTTCTGTTAGTACTGAGCTTGCTTTTTAAAATGTTCCATTCATATTTTCCCTTTCCCAAATTCCTCCCAACATCTACCTTCATTACCCACCAAACTGTGTAACTATTTTCTTCAGAACCTCCCCCCCCCAAAGAGAAAGAACAAAAGGACTAAAACACATAAACCTAGAAAGCAAACAAAAAGCCCATGGTGTTTGTTTTGTGTTGGGGCATTCTGGGCAGGGGTCGATTGCTGGGATGTTACTGATATATTCTTTGCTTGAATATGTTTTTATATGAGGCCTCACTAGACCTAGAGATCTAGATAGACATGCCTCTGAATTCATACAGAAAGATTATTCATGTTTAACACCAAATCTAGACTGACTTGTTGCCTATTTTGGCCTTTCCATTCTTGTCATATGCTTTGAAAATTTTCTTCATTATACAACATTTATTTAAAAATTCCCTGCAAATAAACCACACTTACTCCTCCATTTTAGCAGGCTCAATGTATCTCAGCTCGTGTAGCCACCCCATTGAATTTTACAGTTCACTATTGAATAATTTTATACATCCATCATCCAAAACAAACAGACTCAGAACTAGAAAAACAATTCACTCTAAGGCCTCATTCAGCACTCAGGTAGATCACTTAACTCAGTTTTCCCTACTCCTTTCCATTCAGGCTTCTCTATTGGGTACTAAGCATTTTATTTGTTTCATTATATATGCATATGATTGACGAGTCCCAACATTTAAGGGAGAATATTCATCATTCATTTTTTGAGATTGTTCCACCCCAGTTTAACATCCCATCTCCAGGCCCATCCATTTGGCAGGCAGTGTCGTAATTTTACATTTCTTAGAGCTAAACAACAATATGAAAATTGCAGGAAATGGATGTATTTTAATAATCCTTAAAGAAAAATAAAAGCTTTCCCAATGCAAAAGAATTTCAGTATCAACCACGCTAATACTGTTGCTAGGAGATTTTTGAAAAGAAATAGCCACAGGGAAAATGCACTGGCGTATTTTGATGAAGTCATTCGTAAATGTTGTTGCGTCTAGCTCTAGAAATAGCTCTAGATTTTTTGTTTTTTGGATGACATCTCTTTAAATTCATTGTCTTTAAAATCATTTTTGAAGAGGTAAAATCATTTACTATTTGTTGTTTGGTTTCCTGTTTCTTAGTGAAACACCAATAATGAAAACAATAATTGAAGGAATATAATATTAGCCAAAGTACCATACGTACCTGGGTAGCAAGCAGGTTTCCTGACAGAGTTACATCGAAGTGGTTGGAGATGTGCCTCCATTGGACACTGAGCTTCTCGGGAGCTAATTCCTACCGAATGAACAACAGATGAAGGATAAGAGAGAAAAGACAGGTGAGCATTTGCAGCAGGGAAACCCACTGCCTATTTTATCTACAGTAGGCTCATATCTAATCAACTAAAAATCTTAAGTCAAAGTTTCAGGAGCCTGGGAAATGGACAGATTTACCGCTCAGCAAGTTTAGCATTCGCTTACCACAAACAACTCTATGAACTGAGTCCCAGGAAGAGTGTGCAAACCTTCCAAGATTCCAACAATTTCAGTAAGTCTCTGTCCCTCAAACCAGGTCCTGTGTCGGATGGGGGAGGGGAAGGTGGGGGTTACTAGTCTCTTAGTTTAAATTGAAAAGCCACTCACTGGGAGGATCTAGACATGCTGTCAAAATCCTAAACATCTGTGAGCACCCCAAAATTTAAGATGCTGGCTGACCCGCGAGGTCTTAGGAGTGAGGTTCGGCAGGAGCTTACCAAAGCCGGAGCTTGCTTGCGTGCCAGGGCAGCCATACTGCGGCTTCCTTGGCTTTCGTGGCAAAGAGCTGCCTTCTGGGAAAGAGCGTCAGCAGCTAGTTGCTTTCCTAGGAGGACGG